CAGCAACAGATCAATGAACTCCACAGGTTAAGCTATGGTTTCTGCATTCGGGAACACTGCTAGGTACTTCACTGGGCCACCTTTCTCACCCACACAGTTGTAGCTGGTCATTGTCAAGTAGAATAAGCCAGATCTGAGGTAATCATTTTTGTACTAGGAATGAGGAATGCAAATACAACAAGAGATTGGGTATTTGGTACTGGAATAAAAAGAGGAATGGGATGCTTCTTACTGTACTGCAGACAATCAAAACAGCCTGCAGGAGAGTTTATTTCTCCTGAGAGTTAAAGAGATATTGTTTTATTCAGTATTTCTGAGGCCATCTCTGTGTGATGTATAAATAGGACATCAATTGCCTCAGGCCTCCAAGATTTTTAGCTTTCTCCACAGGTGACCTTATACAAGTCTGTGAGCCAAGAAACTTGCATTCACTGTTTAAGCCTCTTCAGAGCTGATAATAGAGAATGGAAAAGGGCAAGGAGAGTGAGAGATCTTTTAACTTTATTGGTTATTAAGATAAAGTTTCACTGAGGAAAAATATAAAAGATGAAGGAGAAGATGTTGCCAGAAATTAAAATCAAAGTGTTGGATAACTGATAAAAGCATTTCATCAATACAAAGATCTCAGGCATGCACTCATTGAATTGCATGTTGCATCTTTGAAACCAAAGCAGGAAGCAGAAAATATAACACAATCACTAGACAGCTGACATTTCTGGTATTTATAGCAGAATTGCTTATCGCCACCAGAACTGTCTTGCTACAGAAGTGATCAGAAGTGATTCCATCTCACAAGAGATGTTACTGACAGAAAACGAGACAGCCCTACAGAAAGAGCTCTACATCATGGTGCATTGCTGGAAATGAGTGGGAAAGGCAGACTGAAAAACCTCTGGCTTGCTTAGAAAAGTGGTGAAAAGAGGTGGGAAGCAAAGCCACAGATTCTTAGGATTACCTGTAGGGCTGGGGGAGCAGGCTAAAATCCTAACTCTGGATACTGGCACKGGACTTAGGTGCAAGAACACAGGACTCCTGTATTGACTACACAGCTCCAGGCTGGGCAGCAAAGTTTGTACAGCCTAGAGAATGGAAGTCCAAGCACAGGCACACAACAGCCTAGAAAACTGGACATATATTTCCAGCCCAAGTCCAGCTGCAATCTAGTCATAAGCAGTTCTGCACATAATTTTACTCTGTTTTCCCACTGGAACTACCATATCGAGAATTTCACTCTACAGAGAATGAAGATTAAAGTGCTGGAAGGAGACTAGTCTATTCTGTATGCAGATATGTGTTGAGACACTCTGCACAACTCTAGAAAATTTTCATTTTCTCATTGCAATTCGATCTGAGAGTTGCCACAACTTTAAAGGACATTTTGTAGGCTTTTAAATACTCCAGAACAACCAAACTTAAGCCTCTCAGTTCCCTGTAAGTACTCAGGACATTTTTCCCTAAATCTTCCCTCCTACCAGGAAGCTGAAAATAATTTGTGTTTTTTTTTATATTCACCAAATCATTTTTTTTTTTTTTTGGAAAATACTCCCAAGAACTGTATATAGGATTTGTAACATAACAATCAGTGCAGATACAATCCTTTAAAGGATGAGAATCATCTTGAATAACACTGTAGATTTTCAATTTTCATTTTCAATTTTCCCATGCCATTACAGCAGGAAATAGAAAATACAAAGAATTTCTTCACACAAATGAGACATTATTGGATTATTAACTAGTTGGAGAGATGGAAATCTCAGAAGAGCAAGATATTTTGGGACAAATTGTCAGTAGTGGCTCATGGGTCACAGTAAATTAAATTTACATCTGACATCCATTAAAATAATGGTGAGAAGATTACAATTACAAGCAGTTCTCTGAGGTAGACAAAGAATAATTTAAAAGAACACAGAAATACTCAAGTTTATTCTGTCCCCAAAGCGCTCTGTTAAATAATCTAATAACGATTCTATTCTTTATTAAAAAAAAAAGCTTAGCATTTACATTAGTTTTTTATTAGGCTCCATTTCAGCTTCCAGGCAGGTGGGAGGAAAGATTCCACATTTTTACCTGTATTGTTTGTAACATAAGTAGGCAAATAATGCCCTCCTTTTTTATTGTCTGAAAAAATAGGTTTGCAAAGGAAAAACATTTGCTGCAAAGTCCTCTATTTAACTGCAAGAGGGAGAATTTTGCTTCTTTAAATTCAAAATAGACAAAAAAAAAAGTTTTTCTCTAGCACGAATCCTACAACAGGTTAGAATTACCAATACTTTATATTCTGCAGAAAATCCTCAAATTTCATGAAGGAGGGATTCTTAMTGTCATAGGCTTTGCTATGGTCTTGATTTATGTAACTATGTTCCTATGGACACATCGTTTGGTTAAAAATACTAACCAAACGAATCACTGCAATTGTCTCTTGAGTGCATTCTTAGCCTGCAGCAAAAGCCTATTAACATAACTTAAGGTTTACCCTGCCCTCACAGGGAACTACATGGCATCCCACTGTTTGCAACCCAAAAGATGGTCACGCAGTAACGTGATTACATTCGTGGAACCCTAAATGTCTGGTGTGGTAACCCAGACTGTCAGACATAAACCCTATAGGCATCAAAATACTGGCATCCTCCTGTCTGCATAATATCCTAATCTAAAATGTCCTAAAGAGGTGGATGTACTGAGAATGCATCTGGCACCACAAAGGATGTCCAGAATGCAGGCTGTGGTGTGTCCCATGGTCTTATATTCAGTCAATAAGGATGAGGTTATYGGAAAAGAGAGTACTACTTTTTCCAGCTATTTTTTTTTTTCTGAAGCCCCTGTCATATTTTTTTTTCAAGGAAAATGCTTTTGTGTCTCGTTCCAGAGAATGTTCAGAATGTAAGAGGTTTCTTTGCCACTAAGAGTGCAGGGCTGTCTCGTTTATACATACACATCTCAAGACATATTCTGGATCATCCTTYAAATTTTTATTCCCATCCTTGCTCCGCCCCACAGTATTTCTTGAAAATGTCRGTTTTGCTTTTGTACTTAAATTCAGAGCTGCAAAGAAAAAGACTATGTGATTTACAATTATAAATAGGCCTATTTATTCAGCCTAAATTTACATTTCCCATGCATGTTCCCATGTTATTTCCACATTTCTTTAACTGAAGGCAAAATATCTCATCAATGTCCAGAAGAACATCGGGTTCAGGGGAGAAGAGTGCAGGGGAAAAATTGCAAGCAATATAATCAGCCATCACACACAGACATGCCCAGTTCACTTGGATGCCACACAGTTCAGCATGCTTTTGTCTGCAGGAGGAACACAGCTCAACATATGCTATTAGCTTCTTTATTGAGAACTGTTTGCTTTTCTTTTTCTTGCCTAAAAACCTAATATGAATGTGTAGGAAGAAAAAGCTCCACTATATAAATGGGATATGCCAATGTCAGAAGTAAAGTATCTGTTTTTCATACAATTATTTCTTTATATAATAAATTTAACTCTTGCTGGTTCTTAATTCTAAGCTCATTTGTAACTACTGTTACTAAGTACAGTTTATGCGTACTTCAAATGTGAAATATTAAATAGCATCATAAGAGGTTTTTAACAGTACTATACTTTTTTTCTTTTTCGAAGTGCTAGTCAGAGAAATACTTCATAAATAATTCATTTRGCTTTTAGGAAGCCTGCATAACTATCCTGATTATATCATTTATTTCTAAAGACACAGCCCCAAACTACAAATCAAAGCTTGTTTGAAAAGAAAAACAGAATAATCTTCTCTTGACAGCTTTTCCTGGGTCTCCTGTCACAGACTTAAGTAYGATAAAAATAGAGCTGTTTTCCTTTGCTGTCTGTCTTGTCTCCTTCTCTACATAAGAAACAACCTTGTGCTCTCCATTAAGCAAAACATCAAGCCCTTTTATTCCTCTCTCTGCTCTTTTCTCCTTTACATACTAGTGATCAGCAGACCATTTCATCTCCCTTTAGTCCTCTGGGCAGAGGTCTTGACTACCTTTTACTGCCATTACTCACCCCSCCTCTTGCAGGTTTTTTACTTTCCTAAAACCTAATAGGAAAATATGTTTTCCTATTTGCCACTACCTTCCTAGTGACAAATCTAGCTCTCTGCCTATTTTGCCAGTCCATTTTAATACTGTCATCAGCTGACTGCTACCCTTCCATTATTGTTGTCCCACTAATGCTCTTCTTATTAAAGGTCAATTTTTGGATGCACTACTGACATTAGTGGTATCTTTGCCATAAAATTCAAGGAGTCTGAAAATTTATCTTCTGTGTCCTATTTTCCATCAAAGTACTTTCAAAGCATACTCACAATTCCCCTTTCATTTTCTAATCACAAAAAGTTCTCTTCTGTAGTGAAATATCTGATATTTTTCCATGACTACCCAACCATTAACAAGCACATTGACATGAACGTAGTTGCAAAATAGAAACTTYGTAAAGTGGCGCTCAGGTGACATTCTGTAGAAAGCAAATAAACTCTCCTTCTCTGAACAAAGACAGTTTGTTCTGTTTTCTTTACTTTAAGAAAGTCTATTTGACAGCCAGTTCCTTCATTTCACTTTGGGTGTGCTCCTGCAAATCTTCTCGGATCTCTCCTACTAGAAGGACTGGACGCAAATGCCAAGTTGGGGAGACCAGCCAATGGCTTCCTGGCTTCTGCCAAAAGGGGGGAGTTTTGCTCCACTTTCCATGACCCCATCCTTGGTTATGCATTCTACCCACTCGCACTTCCAAGAAAACCCTCCTTTGAACCAAACAGATCACACAGAAAGAGAGGCTCATAGATGGATTTTTTCTTTATCCTACAGCTTTTTGGATGCATTGTTTTACATAGAAAAGCTAAATGTATGGAATCTTAAATATATGCAATTTATTCTTTTATTAAAGAATTCCATAAGAGATTTTTAAACGTGATTTCTATTAGGAAGTAAAGACAAATTTCAATGCTATCCCTATCAGTGAACAACAGCACTTCCAAGCATACCTGTGATCATGCTCGATATGATTAATGGCAGAATGATGAGTTTGAGCATTCTCATCAGCAGCTCCCCAGGAAAAGCAAAGTAGAACTTATCCAGGTTAGAGAGACTGCCGTATTCCCGTACCAGCATACCAACTCCAATACCTGCAAAACACATAAAATATGATATACTTAGGTACTCAGTTGTCATTTATGAGACATGGGGAACAGTGAAGAAAAATAGAAGATCAATAAAACAAAAATAGCTCATGCCCTTTGGGCATGTCTTTTCTCTATTATGCATTGATGGTAGTAACAATAAAGCACAAYATATGTTTTTTTGAATTGGGAGGACTTCTTTTGGTGCATCTTTAGGGGAAAATTCTGTTTTAATCCTCTGATTATCAGTCCTGTCAAAAACAAGTAATGATGTCATACAAGTATTTTGGATAATCTGTATTGGGTAAAATATATGTCCCTATATAGATACTGGCATACAGACATAGGTAAATATATAAGATCAATATCACTACATTCAGTAATTGCCACTCTTACAAAGTAAGAAAAATAAGTAGAATAGCAACCACTAAATTCATTTATTAATTTCCAGAAATTTCATCATTAAAAACACATTTCTGCATATTTCTCACTTATATTATTGCACTTTATGCACAGAGTACTGGACTATCTGTATAATAAGCAATCTAACTGCGCTACAAGGCACCTTTCTACTTTCTCTTATCTTTGGTTTAAATTAGCAAATGGTTCTGGCTACCTAGACAAATCAGAAAATAAATTTCAGGCCAAAAGATAATCTTCTTTAATTTCACAGATGATTCCTGTGGAATGGAAATCATTGGTACAAGAAATCTGGTCCTTATTATTTAGAGAGTCCAATGGGACCCTGGGGTGCATTAAGAARAGCGTCTCCAGCAGGTCGAGGGAGGTGATCGTCCCCCTCTACWCAGCCCTGGTGAGGCCACAKCTGGAGACYGTGTCCAGTTCTGGGCTCCCCAGKACAAGAGGGATGTGGAGCTGCTGGAGAGAGTCCAGYGCAGGGCTACCAGGATGATCAGRGSCCTGGAACATCTGCCCTGTGAGCAAAGGCTGAGAGAGCTGGGYCTGTTCAGCCTGGAGAAGAGGAGGCTGAGGGGGRACCTGATCAGYGTSTATAAATACCTCAAGGGAGGCAGTGAGGAGGAGGGRGCGGCCTCTTTTCAGKGGTGGRCAGKGATAGGACTAGAGGAAACGGCCACAAGCTGAGGCACCARAAGTTCCACAGGAACTTGAGRRAAMRYTTSTTGACAGTGAGGGTGACARAGCMCTGGAACAGGCTGCCCAGRGAGGTTGTGGAGTCTCCTTCTTTGGAGATCTTYAAAACCCGCTTGGACGCRGCCSTGTGCCAYRTGCTCTAGGTGACCCTGTGTGAGCAAGGGGGTTGGACTAGATGATCTCTAAAGGTCCTTTCCAACTTTAAGGATTCTATGATTCTTACTACATTCAATGAGAGGTAAGAGTATTTAGGGCCTTTCATTACTCACAAGGTGATGTAAGATCTTATTCACATTAATAACTTCCCTGGAATTAATGGAATTATATACATCCCTCTACATTTCGGTGTGTATTGCAGCAGAATTGTTACAACAGCACATAAAGGTGATTCCACTCTGCTTTATCAGCCTCATTGGCTCATGTAAACACTTGGGGTCCCAGGAAYGCTATTGGAGCTTAAATCAGAATCTCCTCTTCCCTTCAAGTTTTATTTTGGTTGGTGCACAGGGCAGATAAGCCAGACTCTGCAAAGGGATATCCAGTGAAAACACATACAACAGAGAGAGTGCCCAAGAAGCCACTGTACAGTTTAATTAAATGGGCTTAACGAGACAGCTCCTTATTCTAATTGACCCATGTTGTGGGGGCAGACAGCACCAGCAGCTTCAAGAAAATTAGACAAATCCAAACATAGCAAGTTTGTACTTGGATACTGAAGGGARTAGATGGGAATCCTTTATCCAATTCTGTCCTAGAGAAAAAACTCACATCTTCTCTTCCAGAAAAGAATGATTTTCTTCAAAAATCCTCCAAAAACATTCACTTGTGCTGTGGTTTGTATTACCCTGTATGTGGGTGTTAGACGAAATGAAATGTAAATAACTAAGCTACTTTAATAGAATCTCTCTCTAAGGTCTCACAGCACAAAAAGATAATGAATCATCTTTTCTGCAATTGAAGAACAAGATGAAGGAATAGAGGGGCAAATTATAAACTCCTGTCTAGTCTTTATTGTTAACAACATGGAAAAAAAAAAGCTGTTCTAAGCAACAAAGAAGATATCTGATAGTTTGTCATCTSTGCCAGTTAACAGGTTAGCCTCCTTGCAATGCCCTGAATCTTAATGGCTTTGAGAATATTCACAATATTATGTAAATGCACTTAATCAGAGATGGAAGACACATGAAAACTTCTACTTTTAATCTAGTGGCTAAACCAAATGTGTTGAAAGGAATTAGTCTGCGTTTTGAGATAAGCCTGAGGAAGATAAAACTCTACTTGTAAAATGTTAACATTTATCAAGGTAAATTGATAAGGCTTTGATCCTGCAAATGCCACTGCAGACAGCTGAACTTAAGCACATATCTATCGTCCTGGCTTCGGACAATTCACATGCATAAGGAAAGACATATGCTTAAATTACAGCAAGACTGGACTGTATGTTAATTCAAGTCTTGCAATGCCATTTTATCATACAGTACAGAACATTAAACTTCACTTACTAGACGGAACCATCAGCTTGCCAAACAATCGCTCCCATGTTTCCAAAGCATGCAAGATATTCACAGTGGTGAGCTGCCCTAGCCCCAGCTCTCTGCCCCTTTGTATCATACACTGGRAGACATTTTCCCCCTTTGCATGCCTTGACACAAACTTAAGAGTATCCCCACATGACACAATCACAGCCATATACGTGCAGTAAGTTCCTTATCAATCAGAGTCCCACTCATTGCTGCTTTGATCCTGCAAAGACGACAGTGCAAGTGGCCTTTGAACCCCAATTCTTCAAGAGCCCCAACAATCCTAACAAAGGTAGACAGGTCTTGTCTGATAGGTCTTATCTCTGATAGAAGAACACCAGTCTTGTCCCAAGTAGTAACAAGAACCATGGCCTAAAAGGCAGCATTGGCACTTCCAGAGAAACACTACAAGTGCAGTGTGACCTGCACAGTTGCAGATGCATGCACGCGATATGACCAGAAATAACTGAATGACTCCTACTGTAGTGCATGGTCAGGGGAGAGAGCTCAGGTGTTTTCCGGACAGGAAAGAAGGAAGAGGACAACTTCTGATCCACTGTACTTGGCAAAGAAGTTAAAAAGGTCAATGCATATTTTTTTTCTTTCTGTCATCCAGGGGTGTTACGTTCAGCAGGTGTGAACTGCTAAACATCTAGGACATTTTCTATGTGTGTGCCTTCATGCCAGGTGATGACTCTCATGTTTGCACAGCTGGCAAGTTTTCTTCTCTTGCTTGTTTTACATTTAGCAGGATCACAAGCAGGTCAGATGATTCACCATTGTTYTTATTCTTCAGAATTTTCCTTTCCACTTCCTTGGATTTCACTATGAACATTTCCCATACTCTCTTAAAAATTTTAAAGCATTTACACTTCTTCCCTTGCACATGTGTATTTGTTCTGTTTTTGGAAAGGATGCTATTCATCCAGAGGCACTAGCATAAAAGTCTTCCTCATCTGAACAATCTTTCGAAATGATACTGTTGCTCTCACTTCCTTATTTATGCTATTCTTTTAACAGAATGTGGCAATTATATCATTATATTGAGTTGTTGAGTATGAAAAAAAATAAGTGAGATACAGCTACCTTTTAAATGGAGCTAGCATCTACCATTCGGTGCTGGAATTTAGTTCTTGAATATAAGAATAAACTTGATTTTGTAACAGAAACAAGAAAAGGTCAGTATGAATAAATTTATTTCCATACTGAAACTGGACCAATATAGAACTTTATATAGAAAATTTTCATCCTCGCCTCAATCCCAAATCACTGGAAAGCTGTTCTGGAAATTCTAATACACAGAAAGAAGTGTGGTCTGGCATGGCCATATTTCACATGATACCAGGTTAACATGATTACACTCTCTTGTAGTTATTTTATTACAATGTTAATCTGTCTGCATGAACTATACTCCATCATCTGTGGAGCTCATTCCAGTATGGAGTTACCTCCAACCATCACAAAGCTCTCTACAGTAAGCAGGGTCTCTGTTATTTGTTAAGGTTTTTCCTTCCTCTCATTTTTTTTTCAWTTATTGAGAACTTTACTTTTGCGTTTTAAAAGACAGTGTAATATGCTGTTTCTCCTTCTTGCCCTCTTCCTCGCATAAGTTTCACTCATTCCTCCTTTCTCTCCATTCCAAATTGTTTTCTTCCTTTCCCAACTCCTCTTGTTTTCCCTTCYTGTCACATAGTTAACTTAGCTAATGTTTCTACTGTAAGAACAGTCCTGTACTTATTTCTCAGTGGCATGTGCTACACAGGGTCCAGTCCTCTTCTGCAGCACTAAGCAGGAGGGAAGGATGAAGGTGAAAACTCAGCAAAACCATGTCTATGACTTTGTAAAGTGTGTGTCAACAGAGTCAAAGAAAACCACTGGGAATGAACATATCAAGAGAAACCCATCTTTCAGAGAATCCCAGGAGCTCCAGCACAAAAAGCTAGTGAGAGGATGTACTCTCCTTTCATGGGATGACCTAGTTCTTTTGTTGTGACACACAGGGAAAAGGAAGGACTGCAAGGGGCTGGGCTGCACATAGCACTCTCCATCACACATGTAAAGCCTGAGGCTTTGCAGGGTCTGGAAGATGTGCACTATCGACAAGAAGGAAGCAGAACCAGTCTACCCTGTATGTGCATATGTTGGGAGTAAGCAACAGATACCAAGTAAATTTTGTACCGGGACTATTGAGTATTTGGTGGATCTGTTTACAACAACCTGGCCCATAACCAGACTGCAGGTTATTTTAGGAAAAAGGCAAATCATCWGCAGGGAAACAGGTATGGTCTTACCACATTTTCCTCCAACTACAGTAAAGTTAATGATACAAATTTAGAAACAAGTGAAGAAAACAGGCACCCTTGTCAGC